CAGATTTTTTTTTTCATATATAGAAATAGAAATATAAATAGAAAAATAATTTTATTCTGGGACAAAGTCCCTTCAGAATAACAAAAAAGTACAGAAATTAAAATTTTACATCTGGCCAGATAAAAAAAAACATAACAAATTAAGATAATGATAGGTCATTAAAGAAAAGAAAAGAAAAAAATATTGGTTATACATACTATATACAAAATAAAATAAAAAAATCTATATAAAAAACTCTTGAAACCATATTAAGATACTTAAAACTATGTACAATGTTAAAATATAAATAAACCCTTATAGAAAAAATAAAAAATACAGAAAAAATAAATGTTTATTCTTCTTAACAATAAAATCTGTTTCTGTTGAAAAAGAAAAAAAAAAAAAAAAAAAGAGAAAAAGAAAGTCGAATCTATAATAAGTATTCAGGTCATGAGCTATATGTGAATATGGTCTTATAGATAATGTGTAATTTTACAAAAAAGATTAGCTGGTGCCTGACTGTTTTTGGGACAGGAATTGGAATAGGAGGGTTTTGAATGTAGATAAGGATGAAGAATGTCGAATTTTGATAGGGATATATATATAATTAATTTGAGAAAAAAAAAGAAAGAAATGAACTACCTATATGAAATGGTGTTTAAGTGGTTCTTGAAATCCTATTAAATGTAATTACACGAACAATAATACTTTAAGAGATAGTTTTAGTATTTTTTTCTGTAAAACATGGTTATATTTTACCATTTCGAGGGGAGGGGGGGGAGGGAGGAGGGCTTCAGCCCGAAAGCCCCCGTAGATCCTCCTGTGAAGCCCATTCATATCCACTAGTTTCTACCTTTGCATACTTTGCGATTCCTGACAAGCCTCCTAGGCGTTAGAAAAGAAGATGGCCTCGGAACCTTTTAATATAGAACTATAATTGAAGTTTTATTTATTTTCATTTCATTTCATTTATATATTAAAGTGTTCATTAATTATGCTTCAGATACATTTCCTGCAAAGCTCGCGCAGTGAGTATTGTTGCCCAAAATCTGTCTTGGTCTTGAACTTTGCAGACCAAGGGCGCCTAACTGTTGCAAGATCAAGACCAGGACTGGTAAAAAAAAATCGATTTTTTAAATACAAATTAAGGCAAAATAATTACTAATACTTGACAATCTTAGTTACTATATGTTAATATAACCAATATACTTTTCCATTTAACTCCTGTAATTTTTCATTCAGGCTTAGTTAGGTTTATCCTATCTAAAAAATTACAATAATATCTCTATAGCAATAAGCTAATAAGTAAGTTGCGAGACCAAGGCTATGACCAAGATTGAGTTTGCACAAGATCCGTCTCGGTCTCGCATTTGGGCAACACTAACAGTGAGACGAATGACTATTCTTTCTTTCTTTATTTATAGAAATTTACAACAGTATTAATTAAAATAATTGTGATTTGGTATACGACATATACAGACTTGAAGAGAAACTACACATTGGCAGTAGTTTCTCTTCAAGTCTGTATATGTCGTATACCAAATAACATTTAAATGATTTATTTTTATTAATACTGTTGTAAATTCCTATAAATAAAGAAAGAAAGAAAAGTTATTCGTCTCACTATTAGTGTTGCCCAAATGCGAGACCGAGACGGGTCTTGGTCGTGCAAACTCAATCTTGGTCATAGTCTTGGTCTCGCAACAGTCTTGCAGTTACTCAGTAGCTTATTGCTATAGAGATATTACTGTATTTTTTTAGATAGGATAAACCTAACTAAGCCTTAAGGATAAACCTAAGGAAGCAGCACGAATGACGAAGGATTTGCTGAAGGAGGAAGTTTTATGGGAGGGAATATATAAGTCTATAGGTTGAGACCTAGTATTGAGAGAGTGGATAGAGGAGCGCAGAGTAAATAGTTCCAGGATGTAGGGAGGGTTTTTGGTTCTGAAGACTTGGAAAAGGAAAACACCAAGGAGGAATTGTCGTCGGGAAGTAGGATAAAGCCACTACAACTCGGTGTACGAGAGTGAAACATATATCTTATGAAACAATTCATGAGTCTCTTTAGTCTCATTCCAGCCTGGCAGATAGCCCTCCATACACCAAACAACCGTAGTCGAAGTGAGGAAATACAAGGGAGGTTACAAGGAGCTGTCTGGTTTTTAGAGGAATACAATCACGGAATCTTAGGAGTTGTTTAAGGGCAGTTATGGATTTTCGGGTAATCTGGGAGATATGGTTATTCCAGCAGAGGTTCTGATCAAAGGTTACTCCTAGGTTTTTGACTGTAGGGAAAAAATTGATGGGATGGTTATTGAGGTTGATATGGTTAATAAATATAAATATGGCATCTGTGAAAAGTGTGGTAAGAGCAATTTCGGTATCACCTAAAAGCTAATTTTCCTCTTTTTTAATGTCTGATGGGCTAAGATATGCGGTTATTAAAGAGATGAATATTCTCTTGTGAATCATGAGCTGAAACTCGAAAATAGAACATTCACCTTTGAAATTTTCAAACTTTTAATTGTGTTTTCCCATAAATATGATTTTTGCACTTTTGCATATGAACACACTATGCACAGGTATAAAAGAAATATTATGGACAGTTTATTTTATTTATTTTTTAAATATGCTCATTGACCAGCTCTCACAGCCTCCTGCTATAGACCACCTCAGCCGAGCGCCCTGACTGACGGGCGAGCGGTTGATTACTATTCAGGGCAGCCCGGTCGGTATCTTTTTGTATCCTTCCACCGTCTTAAATCAAACTGATGTCCTAATTAAATTGCCTCGTCGGGAAAATATGATATCAGCTTCAATTTGTACTCCTTTCCAAGAGGAAAAAAAAAAAAAAAAAAAAAACGAAAAATAAAATAGAAAAAACTTATAAAGTGATCCCTCCAGTTGTAATGGTTTGCATAACTAAAACATAAACAGGTCTTGTCCTCTGATTTATGTTCTCTTTTGAAACAGGTTTGTTCCAACGATCCCTTTCTCTCGGTCTTCTTTCTCTAAATGCCAGCCCTATTGCTGGGATCTATGGTAATTGGGGTTTGTTGTGTGTGAGTATAATCATTGTTGAATTTCTAATATGTCGATTTTAATTTTTTTAAATATTTAAAATCTGTTAAAAAAAAAATCTGATGTCCACTCACACGACTTTCCTACCTATTTCTGAAAAGAATTTTTATATTTTTACATATGTCCATTAATAAATAAAAAAAAATTGAATTACACTAACTTTCACTTAATTATCTTTTTTAATTAATTATCTTTTTTAATTAATTATCTTTTTTAATATTAATTATCTTTTTTCCTCTCTCATTTACCCCTTTCTGACACCAGGATATGAACTCGTAATCTTACATTGGAAATTGAATAACTGTAATTTCGTTAATGGTTGTCCCAAATGAACGATTTTTATATAGTTTTGTAAGGAATTTCATTTGCTTTTTAAAAACCTTTCAGGGGACTCTGAAACGTATAGATCCGTCGAAAACCTCATATCGGAAATTTTACCTCTGATCGCAATACTTTACTTACCTAGTATACGGGGAAAGTAAAAAAAAAAAAAAATCAGCTCAAATCCCGTAAGAAAATAATATTTACGTAAACCATATCTCAATCATATTGAATGGAGGATAGAAGGAAAGATTTTCATCCGTTTTACAAGCTTTACAATCCATTTATTTTAATGTACACGATTAAAACTCAAATTGTTATCTAATACTCATATATTATATATACATAAACGTAAACCATTTAAGCTGTTTCCATGACATTTTAACGAATTAATAATTTAAGTTTAAAACTGAACTGTATTTCAATTTATAATTTTTTTTTGTCAATTGTTTATTAAAATGTTTTGTACCTCTAAATTTTTGTAAACTTCTTAATATAAATTCTTTATTATTATTATTTTTTTTTTTGTATCTTCAAATACTGTGGTACTGATCCGAGTGGTTGAAAAGTCTGAATTGTTGTAAATAAATTGTGTATCAATAAATAACTATTCTTCATGTTTCGAAAAACTTGTAGGCATCTACTTAAAATTTATTCTCATTTGCTGTAGGTTAGAGGAAATCGAGACGAATCGTTTTCGACAAAAATAATAATTTCTGTATTTTCGTATGTTACAAACATTCATATAAACACCATTGATACTGTAACCACAGAATATTTCCTTTGTTTAATAGTCTTAACTACTTAAACATTTCCTTATTAATTTCGGGGCAGTGATCATTTTCTTCTTATCGATTAACATTTAAATGCATCATTTAATTAAAATATAAATTATTTCTCAACTTCCTTTAACCATAAAATTCATAGTTGATTATATCAATGATCACTTTAGGACAAATTTTAGAAAAAAAAAACTGAGATAACAATTAAATGATTGTACATATTATCAATAAAAGTAAATATATTTTTATTCTGATTATGAATTGATCCCTTTTTCATTATTATTTTTATTTTATTATCCTTTTTTAATTTGTAGTTAGTTCGGTGTTTTGCAAAATAATTCATAGAAAATATTTTTTTTAATCATTCGTATTCTCTAATTTTTCTTATTTAATTGTAACAAGGTTTCGTTTTTTTTTTTTTTATCGTTATTTATTTATATCTATGAATGTAAAAATTTAATTTTTGTAATTTTCGGTTATAGTAAGATTTTAAATGATCTATTTTAAATAAGCAATCTCTGGTCTACAATAATATAATGTTATGTTCATTCAGTGCTGATAGTGTCTGAACTGGCGAAACATTGACTGATTACCGCAATCTAAGAGACTCAAGCCTTTGTAACCTCAAATAATAAACTAAAATAAATATATATATATATATATATATATATATATATATATATATATATATATATATATATATATATATATATATATAAAGAAATATTTCAACACTTATCTCATTTATAGGTGATAAATAAACTGTGTGTTAGTAAACTAACTCATATTTGTATACTTAATCTGATATTTGTTGAAAGGAAAAAAATAAAAAAGTAATTCCTTAAGGCATTTTTATTCAACAAAGATAATTTGTTGCCTTTTATATAACTATACATATAAAAAAGAAATGTTTACAATAGAATTCTCTTTTACAATTTACAACTCATACTAAAATATTCACACATAATAACTTATTTATAAATATTTACAGGGACATCGCGCCCCTTAAGAATGCCCCAACAGCTAAATTGGTCTACTTTGTACATTCGTGGTTCTAAACCGTATAAAGTAAACAACTATGTACACGTAGGTTCTACTATGGCATTTCATACATAATACACAATATTTTTGTCCTCTCGAGGACGTCAAATTTATTTTATAAATAAATAAAAATAAATATTTAACAATAAAATACTTAGAAATAAAATGGGTACTTAATATACATCTGAATTGTTTTTTACATGTACAGTAATCAAACCTGATATAGCAAAGGTATGCGTGATATTTTAATATAAATCTGTCTGTCAGGTGCCTGGAACCCAAAACTAAGCTGAATAGGAACCGAATTTGTTACTGTTTACAATTAAAATTATCTTAAATTAATTTTATATATAAATCGTATAATTAATTATTAGATCGATATTAGTTGCTTAAATTAAATTTGCGGTGGGCAAATTTGTCTGGGTTCCGATGCACCTCAGATTTAAACTGAGCTTTTCAGAATACTTTTTATTATCATGTAACAAGAAACAAAATAATATAAACATATTATAGCCGGTGATAATAAATATTAATTTGTAGCAAATATTGAAATGATCCGGAATAAAAATTAAATCGAGATGCTATAAAAAAAGTGGCCACAATTTATTGGTAACTCGAAAACTGGATATCGCTTCAATTAGAATTTTATATTTTATTAACTATGATTATATATTTTATTAGTTAATTGTAGGACAACTGGATGAATAATACGGAGTGGCCACGTTTAGGACATCAAGTAAATATATAGATTCTATAAAAATAAATAACACAATTATTTTGCATTTTTAAAATATCCCAATTTTTAACATAGTAATAATAATAATAATAATAATAATTTAACAGTATAGTTCTTAATTTATAATATACAATATTTTAATCTAGGCATTGAAGGTCCCTATTATACTTAATATCATACTAATGCACATATTTTCCTGGATCCATAGCAGATCAATAACGAACAGATTCTAACAGAACGGACCGACGGACATACAGTGCTTGAAGACATAAATCATTAAATAAAAATGTTTAAAATAAAAAAAAAAGACAGATATTTTGAAGACTACAAATCTGAAACATAAAAAGTCTATTTAGAAGATATATTTTATATTTTTGTATTTATTGATACAGATAGACTGGATCGAAATAAATTACCAAGTTTATTCGTAAACTTAGCTGCATGCAAAGTAAATGGAAGCTTATAATTAATTTGAAATTGATTTTTCAAGTTTTAAAAGCTGAGGATTATTTTTGAATTATTGCGTTGATTTTTAATGGGTAATGATGATCTATTTTTTAAAAAGAAATATAAAGTTCCGACAAATCCATTTTTTCTAAAATAAAGTCATATAACTTAAGCAGCTTGAACTAATACTGCACGGCACTGAAACGCATATGGCACGCACGAAGGCACTATATAACGCTTAAAATCAAATCCACGTAGATGGTTCCTAACATTCCCTTATAATGCCCATTATTACATATTGCACTTGTCTTGGACGGACTGCGTTTTTCTCGAATTTCCACCTTAGTGGTATTGCAACGAAGTTTTTTTTTTTTTTTTTTTTTTTTTTAAATTTATTTATAATTTTATAAACTCTCCTTCTAGATAAATATACATATATAGTTTATACAGATAATACAGGTTCTATCACAGTCGCTGGAGCTATGCTGACAATATGCCATACTCTTCTGTGTCTCCCATTACATTAATTTTGATTCCTATTGAGTCCGAGGTCGTGTTCATAAGTTGGCCCCAGTCGGTCGCTCGTCTGAAACAGAAAAAGAAAAAAATGGTTATATATCAAACTGTCATGATGTCGAGGGAATGGAATAAAAAATTGAGCTACCATTCGAAAACACATATATCTTTAGATTTTTTTTATTTTTTTTATTTTATTGAAATTTACAACTGTATTACATGGAAAATACAATAAGTAAATGTGACATTGGTAACATGAAATGTACAACATGAAGAGAAGCTATCCATTGGTAGAACTGAAATTAAAGTTCTATATTAGAAGGTCCCGAGGCCATCTTCTTTTCAGACGCCTCGGAGGGTTATTAAGGATCGAGGAGGAAGCAAGGTTTGAGAGGAACGAGAGGATTCGGATGGTTCTGAAGTTTATTATAGAATGATAGGTATCTGATTTGGGCCAAATCGAAAACATATGGAACATTAAGGTCTTTATGAATGATTTTATTTGTGACAAAGTAAGGAACGTTAAGGATTTTACGAAGGATTTTGGATTGTAAGGATTGGATACGAGAGGAATTCGATGGTTTAGTGGAGCCCCAAAGCTCAATTCCGTAAGTCCAAATAGGTCTTATTAGTTGTTATATATGAGTCGTTTGTAATTGATTGAAAGCTTAGAGCGTTTGTCTAGTAAGTGATGCAATAGTTGAAAACATCGGGCGGTTTCTAGTCGTTTCAGTCTGGTATGGGGGTTCCATATCTTTAGATTAAATATAGATTTGTAAAAGTAGAAATTTTTTTTTGTGTACAAGAAAATTTTTTTTTTTTTTTTTACGAATCTAAAGATTTTGATTATTTATTTTTAAGAGCAATATAGTTTTTTTAGTTTAGTTTGTCCATATTTTTGTTTGCTGACATACTACTATTATTCATTCGACAATAAATAACTGCCAACAGTAGCGTACCCCAGCCTAAGCAAGTATAGCATGAGTGTGTTTAGCAGTGAAAGTAAGACAAACGTTCTAGCGGAAGTTGCTCTGCTATCAGACTCTGGAGTTACCCTCAGTGCACATAATAAAGGCACGTAATACCAACACGTAGGTACATGTCTTAGTAGACTGGCACCATGTTGCGCTTAACTCGACATTACAATTAGAAATTCCTTCTCTGGAAGAGTTCAGAATTATGACAAAATGCGCACTACAGAAAGCGTTTTTCATTTAATAACTACATCGACAAAAAAGAAAACTCGAATCAACATCCCTGAAAGTTTTTTTGTTGATACTGTTTCACAACAGTAATAAAGGTTTAACGACCAAAATCATCAAGTTTATACGGTTTAACTCATAGATCCATCATGTTGCTCCGTCATTTTCCAGAGTTAGGATCATTCCAGTTTATAATAATATGTATTCTCAAGCAAGTTTAATGCTCTTAAGGTGGGCTTACACGCTCGGTTTTTACCATCGGTTCAAACCGTCGGGTAAACGGATGAAAAATGGTAGGGGAAACCGTCGGTTTTAACTGAAGAAAAGTTCTACTCTTTTCGTCGGTTTAAACCGTCGGGTAAACGGATGAAAAATGGTGGGGCAACTAGTCGGTTCAGATATCTGATGAGAAGAAACACAGTATCATGGATTCTTTGATTGCGATAGCTACGGTGCTCGCGGTTAAAAAATCTAGAAAAAGAACCAAGTGAACCAAAGATTGGTTGCTAAAAAAGAGAAACGCTTCCTCACACCAATCTTCTCAATGAGTTGAAATTAGAGACGGCCGATTGGTACAATTATTTGAGGATAGATGAAGAAACATATTTCGAACTTCATAATTTAGTGGCCCCCTTAATTAAAAGGGAGGATACTGTTATGAGAGACTCCATTTCCACACATGAGCGGCTGATAGCCACCCTCCGTTATCTGGCTACAGGGCGAAACTACGAGGACTTAAAGTTTTCAACAATTATAGCAGCCCCAACCCTCGGACAAATAATCCCGGAAACCTGCAGTGAAAGCGAAGTGAGAAATGGATCTCTCGAAATAATTATCTCCCAGAAACGTTCGGTTTCCTGAGAATGCACATAAGTTATTAGTATTATCCGGAGCTGTGCAAACTCGATAGCCCAATTTCCATTCGTAATAAACAACGTTCTAAAAATCGGCATTAATAGTGCTTTTTTTAGTTTTTTAAATCGAAATTGAAAGAAAAATGTGACTTAGCAAAGCAAAAAACCGTCGGGTTGGAACGATGCGTACTTAGACGGTCCGTTTGGCCTGTCATCGTTCCAAACCGATGGGTTTATTTTCTGTTCCAAACAGATTTTTTACCCGCCGTCCAAACCGACGGTTCTCACCCTCAGACGATCGGGTTTTCCATCGGTTTGGCCCGACGGTTCGAAACGTCGGTTCAAAACGGACGGAAAAACCGATCGTGTAAGCCCGACTTTATAGACTCGTGAAAACTTGTGGTAGAACGTTATAGTTTTGTTAACATGCCACCGAAGACAGTTACTTATTTTAGTTCGTATTAGGACACTGTATACAAGAGAAGGGTTGGGGAGGCAGACCTCTTGTGAATATTCAGGAAGAGGATGGCCACACAATCTCTCATCTACCAATGCCTTAATGAACTTATGCACCTGGTCGAGGATTCTTGAGAGCTCTTTAGTTCTTCAATATTCTGTTGTGAAAAGACATTACTAACAATTCATTCAATGAATCATTTTACATGGGATTTTATTTAGATATCTTTCAATATAGAACAAATTTAGTAATTCTGTTCAATGCATTAATTTCAATCACCTTTGTCGTTTACTTGTTTGGCCATATCCGGTCTTCTATTTATTTAAATTAAACTATTTTTTTCCTTTATAATAATATATTACTTATATTATTATATAAGACTGTTTATATAAGACTTATTAGTTATATAAGACTGCCACCGAATTTATCTCGGCGAGGAGATGACCCCAACAAACAGGCACCTCTACTGGCTAGCCCGGCAGAAGAGAGCTGCCGGGAAGATAAGATACGTATGGTTCTCTGCCGGCATTGTGCGTTGCCGAAAAGAAGACGGCCATCAAGTAATCTTGATTAATCAGGCATCGGATCTAGAAGTTTTCGCCTGACTGCACAGGTTTCATCTCTTCTTCTCGTTCTTCAAAGTATTTTTTGTCTTCATTGGTGCCCAAATAACATTGAAGATTTTGGTTAAAATTTCTCACAGCTCCAGTTTACTAATTTGTTTATTTTCTTACTCTTATTTCTCACTTATTTTTTCATTATTCACTTTTATTTTGCCTATCAGTACTTTTCATAATTTTTTTTCAGAATATGATATATGCCTCATTTCCTCTATGCTAATTTCTGACTGTTTCCCATCAAATCCTCCCCATGTCTAGCATCCTAACCACCTGCCACGTTAACTCGCAATCCCTTCCCGCCCATTATGATGAATTCCTGCAGTACTTTTCTCAAAACTTTTTTCACATCATCGCAATCTCAGAAACCTGGCTCAAACCCTATATTCCGTCCTCATCTGTCTCCTTACCTAATTACACCCTCATCCGCCACGACCGGGTCAGCCGGACTGGTGGTGGAGTGGCCATATTTGTCCATGATAGCCTGAAGTCCCGAATCCTTGATTACTCCCCACCCTCCGAACATCCACAAGTGGAATACCTTCTAGTAGAAATTACCTGTAATAATTCACCTCTCCTTTACATAGTGATCTACCGTCCTCCCCTTGTTCCATTTGATCCGTCCTTAGAATCAACCTTACTCAACTTTGTTCCCCTCTATCCTAGAATAATCATCGCCGGTGACCTCAATACCAATTTCCTTTCTAATTCCAAAGACAAAACCTATCTAGAAAACCTATTTTTTTCCCTCCATCTCTTTATTGTTCCTTTTTATCCTACTCACCACACCCACAAGGCCGACACTTGGTTAGACTTCTTCATTATAGACTCCGAAATAAATCTCCTCTCCTCTTCTCAACTGCCAGTATCCTTCTTATCGTCTCACGACATGATCCAAATAACATATAATATCCAAACCCCTCTGATTCATCCGAGAACCTTTACTTTCCGTCAGATAGACACTCTCACCCGTGAAAAAATACTACCTGACCTTGAAACCTTAGACTTGAACGAAATATATTCCTGCTCCTCCATCGACTCCATGGTTGAAATCCTGACTTCCAATCTCCTCAATATCCTTAACACCCATGCTCCCATAAAAACATCAACCTTTCGCCGTCGGCCTGCACCCTGGATGTGTCAAGAAATCAAGGATCTGCAGAAGAGGCGTGATGCTGCCCGCAGACGCTTTAGACGTACTAGGCTTACAGATGACTATCAAGCGTTTAGGGTGCTCCGCAATTTGACACAAACAAGAATTCGGCGAGCTAAAGCTTCCTACTTCCATGAAGCCCTGTCATCTGCCCCAGATCCCAAATCTAAATGGCTAATCCTTCGCAAACTTTCCCTCTGTGAACCTTCTAGATCCCCTTCCTCACTGTTCTTTTCCGTTTCACCTGACGATTTAAATTCACATTTTATTTCTGCCTCCTCTACCTCTTCTCTTCCCTCCTCTTCCAACTATGCTCCTGAGTCATCATTTAATGATGATGACTTTTATTTCTCCTACATTTCCCCGACTGACTTACTAACCGCAGTAATGAAATCCCACACCAATTCCATAGGACCAGATGGCATTCCTGTCAAATTGATAAAATTATGTCTCCCCGAAATCCTCCCAGTTCTCCTTTTCATTTACAATTTCTCCCTACAGAACTCAATATTCCCTTCCTCTTGGAAAAAAGCCATTGTACTCCCTTTAAATAAAAAGCCTAATCCATCCTCTCCCGAAGACTTTCGCCCAATCTCAATTCTTTCCAATCTCTCAAAACCCCTAGAAAGATTGGTACAATCCCAAGTTTCCAATTTCCTAGAAAAGTCTAACCAACTCGATCCTCTCCAATCTGGTTTCCGTCCCGGCTACTCCACACAATCCGCCTTAATCAAAATTACTAATGATGTTCAGACTGCAATAGATAATAAACAACTAACTGTCCTTATACTTCTTGACTTCTCTAAAGCCTTTGATTCCATTAACCATCCCATCCTTTTCAACAAACTAAAATCACTCTCCTTCTCCAATAGCTCCATCTCTTGGTTCCAATCTTTCCTATCACAACGCACCCAAGCAGTCTCCATTCCTAATCAACCACTATCTGCCTACCTGCCTTTATCCTCTGGAGTCGCCCAAGGATCTAGCATATCTCCTCTCCTTTTTAGTTCCTATATCAATGACCTCCATGACTCAATTCTCCATTGTTCCCACCACCTTTATGCAGACGATTCTCAAATATACCTATCCTTTTCTCCCCCTGAGCTATTGGTAGCATTTACTAAGATCCAAGCAGACCTAGATCGAATCTGTGCCTGGGCAAAATTAAACGGATTAAGGTTAAATGCTTCAAAAACTCAGGCCATTGTCATTGGTTCCAAGCCCCTCCTTAGATCCTATACGGACTTTCCCATACTAAACCTTGGTGACCAGCCAATCTCCTTCTACTCCTCTGTAAAAAATTTAGGACTATTTATTGATCAAACCCTCTCCTGGAGTCACCATATTTCTCACATCTCCCGACGGACAGTCTCTACCCTCAAACTATTCCATTGCTTCCGCCATCTCCTACCTCAACATACGCGCAGACTCCTCGTTTCCTCTCTCATCTTCCCCCACTTTGACTACTGCTGTGTGGTGTATGATGGACTCTCGGTGGAGCTCCGCGACAGACTGAAAAGAATAATGAACAGTTGCGTGAGATTTGTAATTGGTGCCCCGAGATACTACCATGTCTCTCACCATTACACTGAGTTAGAGTGGCTCTTCCCCTCCATTCGAAGACAATATTTCCTAGGTACATTCCTCTATCATATCATCAACAATCATCGTCCTTCCTACGCCTACAACCTTCTCCAATTCAAGTCCTCAGTCCACTCCCTCTCCACAAGATCTCGACCTTCCGACCTTTACATTCCTTCTCACAGATCTGCCTCGTTCCAAAACTCCTTTATTGCACGTTCTGTTAGTTTCTGGAATTCCCTTCCAATCAAAATTCGACATTCTTCATCCTTATCTACATTCAAAACCCTCCTATTCCAATTCCTGTCCCAAAAACAGTCAGGCACCAGCTAATCTTTTATGTAAAATTACACATTATATATAAGACCATATTCACATATAGCTCATGACCTGAATACTTATTATAGATTCGACTTTCTTTTTCTCTTTTTTTTTTTTTTTTTTTCTGTTTCAACAGAAACAGATTTTACTGTTAAGAAGAATATACATTTATTTTTTCTGTATTTTTTATTTTTTCTAAAAGGGTTTATTTATATTTTAACATCGTACATAGTTTTAAATATCTTAGTATGGTTTCAAGAGTTTTTTATATAGATTTTTATATTTTATTTTGTATATAGTATGTATAACCAATATTTTTTTCTTTTCTTTTCTTTAATGACTTATCATTATCTTAATTTGTTATGTTTGTTTTTATCTGGCCAGATGTAAAATTTTAATTTCTGTACTTTTTTGTTATTCTGAAGGGACTTCGTCCCAGAATAAAATTATTTTTCTATTCTATTCTATTCTATATATATTTCGGATATATATTATTTATTTATATTTAATATATTTCGGAATAGTATTAATGAAAATGTATTAATTTTTCACTAACACTGATTGTCAATTATAATAATGATTAGACTTTCGACTATTATTATGCAAAATTGGTATTCATAATTGGTAATTGTTGACTGTCGTGGATAATGAAGAGAAGAATTTTTGGGGGTGGTCAGTCAAAAAGGAAGGTAAAAATAAATGATAATATTTATTTTTTACATATGCCGACGTTTCGACCTGAAGTTCAGGCCTTCATCAGGGCTAAGAAAAGAACCAGATAACAAAGTTTCTTATCTTTTATTTCTTTCTTATTTCAGCTTTCTCAATTTCTTCCCTCCTTCCTTTCATTCCTTTTTCTGTTTTTAACTCTTTATTGTATTATACATTGTCTGTACATCTTGATAGACTTTACAATATCTCAATTTTCTATCTAACTACTCCATTTTCAATGTCTTAGTTTTACTATTTATTTTCATTTCTTATATAACTTCATATTTCTTTTTTATGCTTTACATTTTATTCTAAGATTCCCATTGTAACACTTATGTCACCCTTTTTGATTATGCCTACTTCATCATTCCACACTTTGTAACGGTTATTATTATTTATCTCTTAGTTCTTCGTCATTATTCTAACAATTTCATTTTACTTTATATTTATTTATTTTATTTTTTTTTTTTATTTTTATTTTTTTTTTTACCATCACTACTTATGTTTCTCATACCTTGTTATCTGGCTATTTTCTTAGCCCTGATGAAGGCCTGAACTTCAGGTCCAAACGTCGGCATATGTAAAAAAATAAATATTATCATTTATTTTTGCCTTCCTTTTTGACTGACCATCCCAACTATTGTTCTCATCAAAATTCGTATTGAGGACGTAAGTTTCTTTCGAAAATTTTCCTCAACATTGATC